CCCCCCCCCCCCACATTGAAAAGACAAAACCACTCTTTAAAAAAATTGTTAAACATAAATAAAAAAAAATGAATATATACACAGCTAAAGAAATATGATACACTTGCATAAGTGAAAGTGCATCATGGTTTGGAATCCCCCTCCCCTCTCTGTCTCCATATTGAGGTGAAGTCTATTTATGAAGCCACTAGATTCTTGGCAAGAAATGTGTCACCGTCATGGCGGGTGACACTCGGTTTCCTCTTTTTGTTTTGCCGTTCTTACTCAGGCCGATGTACATCCTCGGGTAAGCCACTGACTCGTAGGCATTGTAGTTGTTGGCAAGGAGCTTCTCTTTGAACTTGCACTCGTTGTTGTAGTGTAACTGAAAGAGAAAAGAGGGAGATATATACTATAAGGATTATTTAAAAAAGCTGATTGTTTAAAGGCAGAGACAAAACAAAGATTCTGGGACATTAGTATGTGTGTGTGTGTGTGTCGGGGGGGTTCAAGTCTGTATTGTTCTTTGTGATTACTATCAAACAATTGCTTTATTTCTGACCACAAAACTATTGTACAGTAGTTGTTTCAGTCAGAGATTTCAACAAATAATGTGATTGTCAAATGATGAATGATGTGAATGAGGCAGGACTCAGGACACCATGCTCTGATGCACTATCTTCTCTCAGGAAGTGGAATAATAGTTTGTGATGTGGGACTCATGAGGCTGTTTCAAATTGAATTAAGTTATTAATTATTTTAGACTGTTGCTTCATCAGTATATGGTGTTGTATTCTTTAAAGGTGTAACATATAATACCGAGCCACCTACTCCAAAGAAACAGGGGCAGCATTCCACCTCTACTATTGTGTCCATACAATCTAAATCTACAGCTATTAGAAAAGCTAACTACTAAGTGACTGCAGGGTAGGAATACGTTACATTCTGATGGCTTGTTTATTGGCTTCATTTAGCGGCTGTGGCGACTTGGATTCAAAAAGATCCCAGCGCCAGGAGTCACAACTGGCTGGTGGAGCGCTGGGTCTAACCTGTGTACGGCAGCAACACAAAGTTTGCTGATTGGGTGGGGAGTCGGGGCATCTGACCCCTAGTGCTGGGGTTTTCAGTTTCAGTTTGAGCTAACTGCTAGCTGAAGCCCATGTCACGGTGCCACCGCATGCTGTACTCTCGGTGAAGCAGCCACCTGGTGGTGGGGAGGATGAGGCGAGGGTGTAGGTTGTTTTCTTGTTTCTGCCACTTTGGATTTTAACCAATAAACGAACTGTCAAAATGTACACGGACCCTGAATGTATTATTGAAAAGCCCTCGGGACAGCTTCTTCATCCTCATATGTTGGACTGAGACTGGACGCTACAGTGACTAGCTGTTGCATCTTGAGGAACAGGCTGACGGGCTGGGGCTAGCTGGTTAGCATGCGCATTTCAGTAGATATATTTAACTTCATTTAATGAATGTTTTAAACTCAAATTCTTGCTAGATCTTACACATTGCACCTTTAAAATAACCAGGAAGTGCTGTTTGTCCACACATTGGTGCTCAGAAGTGGATTGAGTGGCATCAGGTCCGTAACTTCAGCAGTAAGTTTGTGTAAGGAAAGTCTTTCTCAATTCTTCTAGCTTAACTAGCATCAACTAGCTGGATTCAAACCAGTGATTCCATTATTAACTTAATTGTGCTGCACCATTAAAACATAATAACTGGCTTAGCTTCATCCCAGCAGCATAACAAGCTGTTACATCATTCCGCCATCCATTGGGGACCAACCATCCAATAGAGTTAAACACTAATCCTCTGTAAATGTAGGAATGAATGCATACATGAAGCAATGTGTTTCAGAGTTAGTAGTAGTTGGTTAATATTTAGTCTTTGATTTTGACATTATTGGCATAGCATTTGATTAAGTTTTAGGTCATTTTTCAATCTAAACAGGCCATACATTAGCAAGCTAACGCAACTTTTGTCCATTTTATGCTAAGCAACAGTTGTGTATAAATATTTGGTTTATGTTATATGTACTAGTCTCTGTGGTGCAACTTATTTCATTCTAATTCCATTACTTATTAATTCAGGGATGTGCAAATGAACATCTAGTTAATACTTTGTTATAACATAGCTAGGTTTAAGAAGAAGTGGTGCAACCTGCTCCTGAACTCCACCTTGATTTTAGTCATTTTCCTGTCAGACATTTTAGTTTCAGTGTTTGAAAGCTAACGTCAATGACACCAAGGGAAAAACATTCCGGTACTTTCAGACTTAATGACGGCAAACAAATGAATAACGTGTCAGTCGTTCACAGTGTTCGTACTCACAGATCCGTACAGCTTTCCTCTCCGGTTCATGGCCACAAAGAGTCTGCTGCCAGCGCCCAGCAGAGTCACCACTCCTCTCTCCACCGGAGAGATCTGCAGAAGACCTTCAGGGAAAACAAATCATACACACTGAAACATACTGCTTTGATGGAGAGAACCCAACCGGCTGCTCCACACTGAGACACTGACATTACTGAGAGTGTCACAGGAGATGAGCTGGACAGTCAGGAGCTCATCAGAAAGCTAAAGAAATCAGTTTCTAGCTGAGATTCAAGCTGTAAATACTGATGAGCACGTATATTCAAACATTTCAAAGAGGATACAGTATGCTCTTTGATGCTCAACACAAGTAGATTCATTTTGGTTTCACCCTTATTGGGTTTGGCAAGGTGTGGCACTGTGCAAGCCTGATCACATTGTGGATTTGTTTTTATCAGTAAAAGTGAAAAAGTCTAGACGGTGCACTCAAACTGTCACTGTAATGAAATCCTAATCAAAAGTGTATTTGCTTACTAAGGTATTCCATCCATATCCCTAAACTGGGTTTAGACATTATTAAATATCTCCAAATATTTCATATAAAATAGGACTTTCATATACTCCACAAAAGTCACAAAAAGACCAAAGATTCCTCTGAGGTTTGGTTGCTAACATGTAACAACATCTTGTCAATCATCAGTCATTATTGTAATCTTTTGTAAGTCTACGGAGGTAAATAGTATTAAACTCAGAGATATTTGAAGGTTTACTGATTTTCTCACTTGGCCTTGACATGCTGGGTTACAGCCCACTCAGTGTGTCTCCTTTGTTCCTGCCAACATTTTAAAATGCTTTACAGTTGCTTGAATTCCTCGCAGAGATTTTCTGTAATGTATCTCCCTGAATCTTTGTGCCTTGTCTCAAAATAGTACAGAGCAGCTCAAAAAAACCCCAACATGCTTTAAATTCCCCAACATGCTTTAAGTTTTCCAAGGCAGCCTGTCAGTTCCGCAGGTCGTCTTTCTGTTGCTCCAATAGGACCGTCTTCCACAAACACGGGATGACAGGGATTACATTTGACATGATAGGGATTTTTTTGTTTTGTTATTCTACGTGTTTGCAAATGTGAGGCAGTGTATGACTTTGTCTTGGACTGCTGGGGTTAATCTGTCTTAACAGATGGGTCTATGAACTGTGTCCTAACTTTAGGTGCTGGCTGGCCGCTCTGGTTACACACAAGGCGGAAAGCACCAGCGCATAAACTCAGCGGCACTATGGAAGGAGTCCAGATGTTGGCACTAACGCATGGATCAATCCGTTTATCTGTAAATTGTTCACTGACAACACGAGCAGAATCTCATGCAACATAGGTTGACTGGAGTGAAAAGTAAAGGTTTGGATCAGCATCAGGTGAAAACATGCTCAAAATAATATTGTTTAGTCATTTAGTATATTTCCTTAAAGCTAAAAAAGATTAGATGAACTTTAACGGTAAATGGTTTTGTTGTCCTATACACTGTGAGAAACTGACTTAGAATAAAGTGTCGACTGTGAGGAAATGAATAATCAGTTGCATATAGTCTATCGAATTAATACATAATTGATACAACTTACTGTGACCATTTTCATTGTGTACTCCCGTTATTCTACCGTCCGGTAACACCTGAATATGAAAGCCGATCCCCACGTTGCAATAGAGGCGCCGCAACCTTTTAATGCCCAGGAGATAGTCGCTGTCCCGGCTGGTCTCCTCCCTCTTCTCCCCTGGGAGCCGCGCCAGAGACCGGGAGTAGAGGGCCTCCCAGCGCTCCGCTGTGCCGTTCAAGCCGAGGGCGCATCCCGCCAGTCCGGTCACCAGGCCCAGTACCAGGACAGTCCGCAGGGCCACCAGAGAGCCCATCCCGGGTCTGGCTCTGAAAGCAGACTCCCGGCGTTTGCCTTTCCAATGAAGCGAGAATAAAAAGAAGAAGCAGCGACGCGGCAGAGAGGAGCGTGTGGATGTTGCGCTCATTCCCAGACCGACAGGCGCACTGGCTTTAGCGCCGGAGCGACATTGATCTAGACACTGTGCAGCCATGCCTCTATATTTATACCTACAGACCCATTACATCACAGCTCCGCACCTAAAAGAAATCTACAAACTAGCCTCACAAACACTGCTGGAGGCTTTATTGAAATCAAATAATAGCTGTCTTATCTGAGAGAAAAGTCAGAGTTTGTAAAAAAGACATGAATAAAGGCGTTATTATGATAAAGAAAACTTCTTTGTGTAAGGCTTTCATTATCAGCAGCAGAATATCATAATTTATGTATGGGAGGATGTCAAATAGGAAACGGTCAAGTTAACAGACCGTGGTGTCGAGACAGGAGACAGTTCTATAAATGAACAATAACAGGAAAAAACACAGGTCCAATTCAAGCAGATGAAAAAAGCGCTAACTTCAGACTGGTAGAAGGGAAATCATGTCCTGGGCCCTTAGAGACAACAATGGTAAGACTAAATAGAGAGTTTGCAGAGTGATAAGTAGGCTGTCATTGTTGGCCAAAACATTACACGCTTCTGACATTACAACTGAATCACTTGTCAAGTTTTTGTGTCCCTTTTTGTAATAAAATAATAATAAAAAAACTTGTATGACGAGAATATATATATTTTTTGAATTGTATTCTACACCACCTGAAGTGTGTCTTGTTTGTGTGGTCTTGTTAGTTGATGTTACTGTCTCTCTTCAGGACTAAACCTGCTCTTTCTGTTCTGTTGTGTTGATGACAAACAGGGAACAGTGTAGCATCAATCACCAGATTGAATACTATTGTATTAAAGACAGCAATACTCACATTATTCTCTGAAGTTTTAGATTTTTGTTCAATTTTTTTGTTGTTTTAATTATATTAACAAACTGTTGTCATGGCAGCATGTCTTTGATGCGTCATCCTTCAGTCATTCAGATGCACTGGTGCATTGCTTTTGATGTCCATTGAAATAAACCAAACTAAATGGCATTCCCTCCCTTTATTTCACCATTTCATCACTGCTATTATCCCAGCTTAAATATATGTTGAGCACTAGCATTTACCCTCTCTGCCGAGTGTCCTATTACTCATCTCTATGTTGGAGCACTGAAGGTCTTCCTTCTCTGTCAGGCCAGAGACAGAGTCCTTTGATCTCTGGGGTGGCTCAGTCCTGCTCCTCATTGACCACGCATGAAACGTTTTCTCACGTTCACATTCGGGTGATCTTCAATGTACAACAACATTGTTTCTTTGTGTGCTGCAAAATGGCTCCATGAATGCAATCAGATCTTAGGGACAGTCCTGTGGTTTCGAGGCCCCAAAAAATGGCTGACAAATGTCCAAACATTGGGACCCAGTCTGGTGGACCAAAGGACCCTCAGGATGCATGGACCAAAATAATGCCAATAGTCCATTAAAACCTCCTGGATGGCTGACAAGGCCAACTGTGGACTACTGGACCTCTTGGACAACTTATTGACTGCCATACCTCCAGGAAAACTAATGGACTCCTGGATCTCAAGGACAACTTATTGACCACTGAAGCTCCGGCAAAACATATGTATTTCTGACCTCCAGGACAACTTATTTGCTACTGGAAGCAGAGATAACTAATGTGCCACTAGATGCCCTGGACCACCTCATGGGCTGATGGACTGCTAGACTATCAGGAAAACTGATGGACTTCTGAGCTCTAGTATAGCAGTGAGAGTACTGGATCACCTCACATGCTGGAAACAAGTTGACTGATATACCATCACACCTTCAGGGAACCTGATGGATTGTAAGACTTCTGCACCACCAATATGCTGGAAGGCTGAAAAGATGGATATCGCGGATATGATGAGCGTTTGGACACTGGTCCTCTAGAGTCTGAGCTGACTCGTTCAGAGTGTTCCTGGAATTAAAGTCCTGAAGACATTTGTGAGCCGAGTATAGCGGCAGGGTCTGTGCTGTAACTGTCCATGGTTCTGTAATCTCCTATTATCACTCTTAATTAAAATGATGTTGAGATGTGTCCCTCCTTCGTTAGTTAGTGTATGTGCAGCTTTATTTGTTGTTTATGTTGTACTGAAGTCATTGTGGTTTTAGGTTGCATGTACGCAATGAATTATGCTGAGGGAAAGAGGTTTTAGATTTCACTGGGTGACAGCTGCAATTCAGATCCTAAAATGTCTCAACATTCAACACGAGCATTCATTCTCCGACTTGTTTATTCAACACTTCCAAAGCTATGCACTGTATCTTCTTGTAATTCATAAATATAGGAAAATAACCACGCTTTCTAAATTTACTTTTGATCAAAAAGCATTATCACTGATTCTAACTATTAAAACATTCCCTGTCTACTCTGCTTTTCTTTGCCCCAAGAATTTCTTTTAACCAAAAATCAACCTTAAAAGTCTGAAGAGCCACAGATAAAAGTAATTTTCCAAAATTGAAAATATGGTGTACATAACATGTACAGAAAGTGAGTTGATATTCCCAATGTTGTGGACATCAAAACCTAATTCTTTCATCATCAGGGCAGAGTTATTCTTGTATCCATGCTGCAGTAATAATCAGCTGAAACCCAGTCAAAATGTCTCACCACATTGTATCACACACTGAACATGGATCTGTTGGGATATCAACCTGTTAACGTATCACATGTCTCTGTATGGTGTGAAAAGGTGTCCTACCTTACAGTGAATGTGTATATCAGTGTCATGTTCTGTGTATCCAAACAGAGGTGGAGCGATATTTCCTCTGATATTCTTGGCACAGTTCAGCTGGATGCTGGCCAGCTAGACAGCTGTCACTGAACTACTGCCAGACTGGAGTCACTACGTGACTTGTACCAATGCATTTGTCTACATTACGCAATTGGGCAAATGGGCAAAGTTGCCACATACAGTCCATTGAAGGTCTTCTGCAGAAAAATGTCTTATTTAGGTTTGCATGTCATTTTTAAAAGTAATACTTTTAAGTGGCTTTTCTCTCTAAATATTCAGATTATGGCAAAATTGTTTATAACTGTGTAAAACTGTTATTTATTTCAACTATGGTTTTAACTAAGGCAATTCGTCTGAGCTTTTGAAAACCTTTTCATTCTGTAGGTGAAAACATTAACATTTTGATGATTGTTGAAACATCACTTTGGTCATGAAGAATAACATTTGATGTACTTTGCTTTTTTGTTACAACTAAAGACTGAACTATTTGGAAATGTTCTGAGTTAACTGGCTGTGGGCTGCCTGCAGAGGGCATTGAGCAGTTCTGCCAAACTCCGACTGATCCAATTAGATGCACAAACCACTGCTGTCTGGAAGAGAGTGACCCATCTGCCTCTAGGGGTCACTATTTACAAGTGAACACCCAGTTACTGCAGTCACCCGCTATGAGCTCAGGGACGATGTTCATGTCTAGTCCAAATAATAACTACACAGCGCACAGTTCTTTCATTTAGTTATTATTAGGAGAGAGTTAGATAAAAAGTCCCATTCTGACACATTTGCAACATTCAGTATCAGCAGGGACCAAGTGCAACTTCTGTCTGGGAAGCATTCGTTTATTTCCATACACATGTAACATGATGATGAGAGCATAAAAACACCCTTCAGTCATTTGTGTGAAAGGTGTGTGCACTTGTAAAGAAAAGTCAGTGAAAAAAGTTCTGATGAGGCGCTCTATTCAAAAGGTTTAAATAACAACTTTATTAATAGTTTATAGATAGTGCTCTTTAGATCAGTTATACGTCTTTAACAACAAGCTGTTTTAAGGCTCAAAGGAAAATGGTAAATATGCAGTTATAAATTGGTAATAAATGAATAAATGCTTACTAAGTTGTTAATGAATAGATTTTCGTCCAGATCCTCTGTAGGAGGTAAGTGTTCACATAGTCCAGTCAGACTGAAGGATTTGATTTAATGGAATGGTTTATAACTAATAAAGCATTTGTAAATTATTATTTAATTTTTTTAAGGTATGCCATTGGTTACAACTTGGAAACCTGTATAAAGGTTCTGAGATAGCTTTTTATATGAACATTGATTTTAAAAGGAAAAAATGTGTCAAACGGGATCTTCAGTGTTTCACTTTCTGAATGATGGGCTTAGAATTATTTAGGAAATATGTAATTAATATCAGAACGCTCTCTAAGGAATCCCTGCACCCCGTCAGCACAGCAGATATTGCAGATGAATGCTGTTTTTATTGCCCGGCTGATACATCTTAGTAAGGCAAATCCTTTAGCGGGATGTGATGGATAAAAAGAGCATGTCGAAAAAGATTCAGAAGATAAATGTGACAGGCAGGGAGACGGGCCACAAAAGGCCCTCACCTCTCTGAAGTCCCGCGTTCCTGTTGAGTAATATTAGAGTTTGGCATTCATAACAAGCCATAGCAAGGTGTTACACTTTGTATGACACAGTTTCTGCTTTCAGCAGGGCCTGTCTTGTTTGTCGACTCTATGACTTTTGGTCGGTGTTTCAAAAAAAAAAAAAGCCCAAAAGTCTCAGGCGACATCGCTTCCCAGGCCCCCCTTGGGAGGAGCTATTGTCCGGGCCAGGAAGCCTCCCCAGCCCGCAGGTATAGAATAACAAGGCTTTATATGCAGCTACCTATAGATGGGAGCAAGGCAGGGCAAAACCTGAACATCCAAAATAGTCCCAATGTTGCTTGTGACGAATTTTGCATGGATGGCTGTCTTTGTAGTTTCTGCTCAGCCGTGTTGCAGCAACAGGTGCAGCACTTTAACAAATGAGCTGTAGCAGGGCGAGAGGGACAATGTCAAATGTAGAGGGAGACGGACAGAGGGGTGGGGGCGGGGGTGCACACCCCCTAAGTTGTAATAAACCTAGCTAACAGCCACACCTGTCTACAACTGCTCTCCACAGGAGAAATACGGCACAGCAGGCTGTTCTCTACGGGAATACACTGGTGTCACAAGTCATTATTGACTGTTTTAGTACTAAAAGCTACAAGTAACCATGAAATAATCCTTAGCTTTGACATTTT